TCTGATGGGGTTTATACAAATGTTTCCGGAAGTTATGAAAAATAAATTACATCATTCAAAAATAAATCTGACCCTCTGCTCAATGGGTCACGCCCATAATTTCCTTTTCTGCATGCTATCACTACCGTAATTATGTCTGCTTCTTTTTATCTTCTTTTGCTTTCTGCTTTTGCTTTTCTGCTTTCTTTTGCTGCATGGTCCACGAGTCCACCACCAAGGCTCCATAATATTCTCCCACACTACACTTTGTGCTTTCTTTAATAGCCTTAAATTGTTGGTGGACTTGGTGCTGAGAAAATAATCCATTTTTTGGCACTACTCTTTGAATTAGCCTTCGTAGTCTCTGATAAGCATCACAGCTATCATCTTCCTTTATTGATGTCAACTTTCTTTTCTCTTTTGGCAGATGGCAGACAAGGGGAATGATAATAGACTTATTATTAAGGAAAAGCTTATCTTCGTCAAGTAGTAATGAGTGTGTTTCTGATGAGCAAGTTCAGCCTCGTCGACGTGCTCCCAGCAACCGGGCTCTCCACCGTCCCAAGCGGCATCATCATCTCCTCAAGAACCACATATGGCGGTAGCAGCCGAAGCAGCCTTGCCTCCTCGGAAACGCGCGTGCTGCTGATCTTTGGTGGTTGAGTCATCATCGTCGCTGGATATGCTGAGCATGTCGACATCGGATTCGTCGTCGTCCTCCTCCAGAACCTCAATGTGACTTGTCTAGTGAAGACACAGACAAAGACAGAGGCATCAGAAGCAATATTATGTTAACAGCGGGGCAAGGCAGCCAACACCATTGAAAATTTGAGACATTATAATAGAGATGAAGATGAAGGCTGATTAATCAAGGCAGCCTGATTTTGAACATGTAAGTAGTGCAATTGCCAAGGTGGAAGGGGGCGTCAGAATGGATGATGCAGCCTCTCTTGTTGTGGTAGCCGGGATAGTCATCCTTGCAGAAGGGTACAGATTGATCGATTTGCAGGCCAATCTTGTGTACCTTCCTGACCAAATCTTATTCGTTGTATGGATGACCCTCTTTGTGGGTTATATGAATCTCTCATCCACCCTCTTTTCTTAGGAGTAATTTGGCATTTTTTGAAGAAACCCTTCACCAATCTCTTGTTCAACCTCATAATCATGATCACAATCAAAGATGGATCCGACAGAAGCTATCCTTGCCATCGTCGGAGATTGCCAAAAAATGGTGGAAGAAAGGAACTTCTCGGCGTCATTCCACAGACAGTTATTCAACCTGATCACTTGGAAGATCACATCCCTGAGGTTTCCACCGCCATTTGAGATACTCAGAGTCACTCATTCCATTGCTCTGGCAATCAAAAGCTTCATCGACATAAGGGCAAGAACGCGGTTCGTAAAACGGATAATGCTCGTCTTTCACCCAAGTCCCCGCATACAAATCACACCTAATTTCACCCATTTCCCCAAATGGGTTCCCATTTCCACTACCTGGGTCTTGCTCAATTCTGTCATTGGACTCCGTCGGCTTATCAATTTTTGAATTGGACGAAATGGGTTGGTGGGTTGGTGGCTCCTCTGGTTCTAGGGAGGGGGAATCGGTGCCAGAAGGAGGGGGAGATCTTTGTAGAGAAAAAGAGAAGGCTCGAGAGCTCGTTTAGAGAAGACGAAAATGGCGAAGAGGAAGAGGGTGATGAATAGGAGAGCAGTGAAGGTGTAACGATTCTTTTGGGTCGTGGAATTGGATGTTGTTGTTGCCACTGCCATTTCAACATTTGCTTTCGAGTATAGAGTGGAGGTTGTGCAATTGCAGAGAGAGAGATCTGGTCTTGATGCATGCTGAGAGATCTCGATCTTTACATATATCACAGAGAGAGATCTGGCCTTTGATGTTTACAAAGGACAAAAACCGAGTGATGAGAGAGAGAAGAAGAAAACTGTGGTTGAGTTTCGGAGTTTTCATTTCTGCATTTTTGAGATATGGGTTTTGCAGTGACTTTGGTTCCTGGGTTTCTATGATTTCGCAGATTCATGGCGGAGGTGAAAAAATGAAAGAGAACTGACACAACTTTTCGTATCGATTCCCACAGACGGCGCCAAATGTTGATGCACAAAATCGGAGGGGTCTTGGAACAACGTAAATCCGATCGTGAATCTACATGAAATGTAAATAACACAAGATGTATCGTGGTTCACCCCAATGTTTGGGCTACGTCTACACTGATATTGTATTTCTCTGAGAGGATTGTGAGGGAGAGAACCTCTGTAATGTGAGAGGGGATGTGAGAGGGTGAGGGGGCTTCAGGCCTAATAGTTGGCATCCTTCAATTGTGAGGGTGAAGAGTCATTTTATAGAATAAGGGCTCCTCACTTATTACATATTTGCCCCTTCCTTTATTACATAATTACATTTAAGTCCCCCGAGTATTTGTACGAGATCTAAATACGGAGGCCCTAAGTATGGTACAAACACCCTTAAATAATTTGTCTCTTCCAATGGTTTTGATTTAAAATTTTAGGCCGAGATTATTAAAGATGTTGTAGACCTATTTGACTGAACTGTATAAAGGATAGAGAAGGAGAGGGGTCGGCGGCAACAGAAAGAGAATAGAGAGATGTAATTTTAAGGTGTGCATTGTATCACCACCTTATGCATTTATTTATAGTAGTAGGATAGGTAGAATCCTTACCCTAATAGGATTACATCTCTAATAGGAACTACTAAGGGGAATACCTTACTATGGTAAAATCCAAAACATGGGGAAAACCTATAGATTAAGGAGAAAAGTGAGAAGTATGCTTAATGTTTAAAACAAACATCAAATCGGACGAAAGTAATGAACTCAACAACGTATGATCATCACAGGATGGGTGCCTCATCAAATCCTCGTTAGGTAGCAAAAACCCAGTGGGAAAAATGCTCCTAATCGTAGGAAACAAGTACATTAAGATCAAGTGAGTATGCTTCAGGATACTCCCCCTGAGTTATGCTTCAGGATACTCCCTCTAAGTTAAACATAACTTCCGAATAAGAGAACTAAAAGCAATTCAACTCATATAATTTACTCATACCGATTTCTTGGACGAGCTTCTGAAAAGTAGACATAGGCAATGACTTGGTGAAGATATCGGCTAGGTTGTCCTGGGAACGGATTTGTTTAACTTCAATGTTCTGATGCTATTATTGCTGGTAAGAATAAAAGAACTTTGTCGCTATGTGCTTGGTGTTGTCTCCCTTGATGTATCCATTCTTTAACTGCTCGATACATGCTGCATTGTCTTCAAAGATCGTCATAGGAAGGTCAACGACGGAAGTAAGACCACTAGTGCTTTGAATATGTTCCATAACTCCTTTCAACCAAAAACACTCTCGCGAGGCTTCGTGTAAGGCAAGAATCTCAGCATGGTTCAAAGAAATCATAACTAGTGTTTACTTGGTAGACCTCTAAGATATAGCCTGTTTAAGAATGTGCCCTATGTGGGTCAGATAGATAACCAGCATCTGCATAACCAATGAGGCGTGAATCAACTCGAGGATCGAGGGGGGCGGCGACTCCTCTCGAGGATTCGTGGGTGTAGAACAAGCCAAAATTCGTCGTACCCTTGAGGTAGCGGAAAATGTCTTTAACACCATTCCAATGTCTACATGTAGGCGCGTTGCTATATCTAGCCAAAGGAGATGCCAAATTTTAAACAAAAAATTTGAATTTGACAGCATATATGACATTTTGACATATTTCAAAATTTTGCTCTCCACCATTTTATTACCCTATTTTCTTTTCTTTTTATTTTATTAAAAAGTACCTTCATTTCGATTTGCAGGAGGAAGACTCCAGTATACTCGAACTCACCTAAAATGGAGAGGAGCACTCCGGTGAGGAAACCCCATACATCCACCGCCGATCTGCTCACCTGGTCCGAGACTCCCCTTGCTAATTCTCCTCTTCCCTCATTCGCCTCTCGGCCTCACCATGTGACATTCCAAATTATCCTTCCCTCTCTCTCTCTCTCATTTTGTTCTTTGATTTGATGATTCATTGTTTGTTTGGTGTTGTTTTGGGGATTGACCGTAGCCGTCGGATGGGAAAGATGAGGGATTGCAATCCATCGTGATGATTTGTAGGTGAGATAGGAGAGTTGCAATAAAAAAAATTAATTAAAAAATATTTAACGTTGCTGTCAAATTTGACAACAAGGGGAGAGCTGCTATTCCATGTCATGCCACATCAGATTTAGCTTCTCGGTTAGAAATTTTTGTTGCTGCCTTTTATAACTGTTAAAGCTGATTTAGACATTTTGACATCTCTTTTGGAGATGCTCTAATAAGCTTAGATCTTACAACAATTACTAATAAATTACTAATACAAATAATAATTAAAACACTAAATAAAGATTAATAAACGATAATTAGAATACCACATAAAATTACAACAAATACTCATACTATAAATATTCATCATCGTTTGGTTGACTTGGTCACTGACTTGGTGGTGAATTTCGTGGTGGACTTGGGCAATAGGCATTAGGTTAATCATCATCCTCAAAGATATGTAACCAAAGTTTAGCTCAATGATTGGAAGAGATTTGGGTGGTTTAAAACTCAAAATTTGAGCAGGGCCACCATTATCCTTGCTCATTTTCTGAGGGGAATTTGCCCAAAAATAGGTATTAACATTTATCCAAAGTTTAGCCCAATAATTGGAAGAGGTTTATTGAGATTTCCCTATTGGGTCAGGTTATTTTGGGCCAAGTGGATTATTTATGATGAAGATGATGAGCTTCAAAACAATGATTTGGAATTCTTACAGAGTCAAATCATACAGTACCAAACACAAGATAAATATTTTAAAGAACAAGGCTTTTTTTCGAATAAGCCAATTCATTTGTTGCCCCGTTTTGGGGGCCGACGGGCGCCCGGGGGGTGGTCAAGGAATATCTCCCTAATTATATGTACCCCGAATTTATTCCGAATACAACTATTGCTTTAGTCTAAAGTAGGAGGGGAAGTGGCACTGTGCAATTTTGCCTCAATTTCATTTTATTTACGAGTTTGCCACCGGGCTGATTTCAGTGGTTCAATTTCACTTTATTTACGAGGCTGCCACTGAGTCTCTCTGCCGTTGAGCATGATCGCGGGAAAGGAAGAACGATGGTAAGGCCGGTCTTTTTCCATTTCCTTCTCTAACCCGCATCCCCTCTTCCGTCTCGCAGACCCCGCGAGAACGACACAGACGGTCTCGCCTCCGTCCTATCCCTCCTCTCGCCGCCGTTCCCTTCTCTCGCCTCCGTCGTGCTTGATGATCGTGGAACCCAGTGATTCTGCTTCTACGACATAGCCTCGACTCTGCTTCCATCGCCATTTTTTCTCCTCGCCTTCTCTCTCAGAAATCACCAACTACAGCACTGTGTTGCTCAAAAACCACCAAGCCGTTAGAAATCTCTTCGATTCTCTCTCTCAGAAACTACGAAGCACATCGACCTCTTGCTGAAAAACCGTGAATTTGGTCCCAATTCGGAGGAAATTTTAATCCCAGAAAATCGTTGGTCTCCTGGTGAGTTCTCCGGCCGATTTGGGGTAGGTAATTTTGTGATTTGCAGTTTATTTTGGGAGATGATTGATGGGTTGCAGTTCATATTACGATTTATAGAATATTTGCATTTTTTTTTTTCATTTTAGGTTTTTTTTTTTTTACTGTTTAGTTTTTGGGTTTTGTCTAATTTTTGTGGTCTGCTTTATAGGATTTCGTTATCTTTCATTACAGCGGACGGATACCTGAAGCAGCTTTGATGGCACGATCTTACTTACCAAGCAAGGTTTCAGAGAGAGTTTCAATTTGGAGAAATGACCTGAACAAGGTTAGACTTTTGAAGTGTTTTTCTTGATTCATGAACATGATGCTTTTCTTTCAAGTGAAATGTATATATGAGATGTAGAAGTCATACCAAAGGAAATTTTGTTATGTCTTCTACTTTATCGACCAATTGAACTGAAGCAAGGAAAGAGTTTTGCATATATTTGGCTATTCCAAGTATTTTTAATTTTGTACCTTTAATTTGCAATATGGCAGGTCAATAAAAAAGCTGCAAAATCATTGGCCGATCCGCAAGAGTGTCCTAATTTGTTTGAGGACTGGCAGGTTTCTCTTGCCCTTGAGTTTAAAGATGCAGAAAATAGGTATCCACCCTTCATTTCACTGTTCAGCATCAGGGCCATTAAAAAATCTACTTTTTAGCGCTGCAGTAGATATGACCATAATTACTGACTGCAAGAAATTGTGCTTATTTGTTGGTTGATTGTGGATTGCTTTGTTGTCTTTTGCAGGGGCATTTATCCTCCTGTTGATGTAAGAGATGAACGAACATTCGTCTTTGTATTTTTTTGGGCTTTTTCTAACCCATCAATTTCTTTTGAGTCAACCAAATAGTTCCAGCTTGCAACTTATGTGTGTGCGTGTGCACACCTCTGCATGATGTTAATCTCTGTGGATCATCTATATATATGTAGACATACTGCGGAAAGAAAGCTAATTTGGTGGTTGGAAATGTGTTGCCTCTCAGATCGATCCCGGAGGGAGCCGTTGTCTGTAACGTCAAGCATCATGTTGGGGACCGTGGAACCCTCGCTAGGGCGTCTGGTGATTACGCTGTTGTTATCAACCACAACCCTGACAACGATACCTCCAGGTCTTTATACATCTCTCTCTGTTCATGTTATTTCCTTTTCATTCTTGCTAAATTATTGGGTTATTATATTTGTGTGCATATATTAGTGAATTTGTTAATTGGATTTCGATAATTGGAGTTCAAATATTACATTGTTATAGAGATACCAATTTCTCATAAGATTGCAATATGCATGTAGATATGTGATGTCTAATTCAATCACTAAATTTGTATCCCTTTAGCTAATAGTATGTTCATTTGCTGAACTGGGTTGGCTTTAGTATCTTCTGTTTCTTGTGCTGATTCACTTCTTTTTCGCCATTTTCCGCCAAACGCACTTTGTGCTTCCTGTTCGGTGTGGATTTGAAGAAGATTTGTGAAGTCGCTGTGATTTCATGGTGAGTTGGTTTGAACGGATTAGTTTTTCTGACTAGTGAAAAAACCATGGTTAACATCTCTGTCTTCTCTCTCTAATTAAACTCTTCTCCAAAGCTTACTCCTTTTTCGGCTCTCTGATTAATCATTTTTATTGAAACTATAGTTCAACTACAGAATATTTCTCTCTGTTCTGGGAGCTAAGGTTCATTCACTCTTTCTCTCTATCGATATATCTATCTATCACTTTTCATTCGGCCAATTTCTCTGCAGAATTTAATCCTCAAATTACGGTCTGAAATTATAAGAAATGGTGTTTTTTTTCTGTCAGTTAAATTGAAGTTACTTAATTGTTTGGGACTAATGCTTTTTCTTTTGGGATTATTTTCTTCTGGTTGTAGTTGTTTCTGAAGAGAAGAAGAGGAAGCTGCTGGTGTACTGACTTTCTTACCTTTTTAATAATTTTTATCTTCTGGGATTTTTTTTAGATCTATCTTATTCCCCCAACTTTTATTTTTGGGGTTTTGTTAGAAATTGCCCATCTGGGGTATTCTGTACATTTCAAAATCTGTGGGGATTTTCCCTTTTTTCTTTTATTTATTTTTCTTGATTCCAGCTAGTTGGATCTGATCAGTGTGTTGCCTAACAAATTGGTGGGTTGAGAACTGGGAATGTTTAAAGGAAATGCCTCATGAGACTTTTGATTTACTTTTTGTTGAGATCTCAGAAAAGTTAGGATTGTTTCCCCTTTGTCATTTTTTGTATGGTGAGAAGTGAGAACCTTTAGTTAATGGGGTTTGTTTTTGTTTCTGATTAATTTGGTTCATTTGATGCTAGGACAGTTGCAATTTCAAGTATGTTTTCAATCTCTGCTTCAAGAGGTAATTAAATCTCACTTCTTTCTCTGATTTGTGCCTTATTCTCACTGTTTTTCTCGAATTGTTTGTTTTTCTTCGATATTGTGGTGTTTCGATCCCAAAATTTTTCGTATTTGAAGGGATCTTATTTCTGGTATCTGCTTTGTGGAGGGTTTTTATCCTTTTAAACGTGGGGTTGTGCGTGTTTTGTCCAGCTTCATCAAACTGGTCTCTATTTCTAGAGTTGTGATCAGTTGCAGTTTTTGTTATCTCGGTTCATAAATCTCAGATTTGGCAGGAATTGGAACGGCAATGAAAAAAAGGGGGAAAACATTGGTCATAATTGTAATTTCCAATTCTTTACGCTGTTAGTAGTTAAAATTAGGGGAATGGCTCCAATTTTGTTACTCAATTAATTTAATTTTTGGTGTATTTCAAGCTTCTAATTCATTTCCTGCATCATTGCTTAGTTTTATTCACTGAGATTTGAGTGGTTAAATTTTTGGACGTTATGATCTCATTTGTGATAATCAAGTGCATAATGGTTAATTGTAAATTTCAATTATTTATGCTGTTAGTGGTTAAAATTAGGGGAATGGCTCCAATTTTGTTAGTGAATTAATTTAATTTTTTGTGTATCTGAAGCTCCTAATTGATTTCCTGCATCATTGCTTAGTTTTATTCACTGAGATTTGAGTGGTTAATATTTTTTACCTTATGACCTCATTGGTGATTATCAAGTACATAATGGTTAATCGTAATTTTCAATTCTTTACGTTGTTAATGGTTAAAATCAGGGGAATAGCTCCAATTTGTTGGTCAATTAATTTAATTTGTTGTGTATCTCAAGCTTGTAATTGATTTCCTGCATCATTGCTTAGTTTTATTCACTGAGATTTGCGTGGTTAATTTGGATCAAACTCTAATGATTTTTCTTTGCAACAGTTGTGGTCCTCTGTTAGGATTTTCCTGGCAAAGAGTATATCGTGCGTTTATATTTTTTATTAGTTGCAGATAATATATATTTTTTTTTTTGAAAAGAAACGATAGAATTTTATAAAACGAAAGAATTACAAAAGAGAAAAAGTAAACCACGTGGAAAAGATATCCACCTGGGGCTATAAGAGAACTAGCAAGGACCCCTAAAGAGAGGAAAAGCTAGACCAAATCAAATAACGGCTGCTAACAAATCCCTAAAAATAGAAGAGAAATTGTAATCTCTAAACTCCATTGAAACCGAAGCCCAAAGGGCTGCCCAGTGTTTTACTCTATCCCAAAGCTCCTCAACCCCCACTCCCTTGTAATCCTCAAAGACTCTTTTATTACGCACCAACCAAATGTTCCAGAAGAGGGCCATCAACAGAGATCCCCACAAAGTTTTGGCTTTCCTCCCTTTCCCTAGGCCTTCGAATTTAGTGCTTAGGAGCTCAAAACAACCCTTTGGGGTGACCCAGCTTGCTTCGGCTTCCTTGAGCAATTTCCACCAGAGTTGAATGCTATACGGACAATGGAGGAAAACATGGTTGGCGCTTTCCTCCCCGGATTTGCACAAAGTGCACCAATGGGGGGAGAAGCATGCAAAAGGCATTCGTCTTTGGACTTGATCACAAGTATTAACCTTCCCGAGCGCCACTAGCCACACAAGGATTTTGACTTTTGGAGGCACTTTTGCTTTCCATATCTGAGCGAAAGGGGGAAATTGTTGCACAACATCATTGTTGCAAAAGAAAGAGTTATAGGATTTGCAAGTGAACTGGCCAGAGCCTTCTAAATTCCATCTTCTCCTATCTTCTCTAGAATGGCATAGCCGTATGGACTCCACCTTCTGCAGTAAACCAGCCACCTCTTCAATCTCCGACTCTCTTAGGTTTCTCCTAAACTCTAAATTCCAACCGACCGGCTGTAAAGAAGAAGCTACCAAATTGGAAATACTTTGGTTTTTTGTCCTTGATAAAGAAAATAATCTAGGGAATTGCTCCTTCAACGGACCGCCCTCCAACCAACCGTCCTCCCAGAATCTCAGCCTCTCTCCGTTACCAACCTCGAAGTTGCATGAGTGAAGAAAGGGAGGGTAACCAGCCGAGATGTCTGTCCAGGGACACCTGCTCGAGCCTCGACTCGGACAATTAGCATCCCAACCATTTGCCACCAGACTGTACTTGCTCTTTATCACCCTATGCCAAAGAGAGTTTGATTCGTGCGGGAATCTCCACAGCCACTTGGCTAATAAGGCGGCATTCCGATTTCTCAAATTTCCCAGACCAAGGCCACCTTCCTCCTTGCTTTTACACACTTTCTCCCACTTGACCAAGTGAAACTTCTTTCCTTCCTCAACCCCTTCCCAAAGGAACCCTTTCATTAGCTTTTCCAGTCTCCCAATGACCCCGCGTGGGGCTTTGAACAGGGACATGTAGTATATGGGCAAGGATCCCAGGACAGCTTGGATCAATGTTAATCTTCCGCCTCTAGATAAAAAAGCTTTCTTCCAACCCTAAGGTCTCGATTACACCTTCTCTACCACCGGGTCCCAGAACTTAATAGATTTTGGCTTACCTCCGAGGGGTAGACCCAAGTATTTCAATGGCCAACTGCCCACCTCACAGCCCCAAGAACTTGCTAGCCTTGTAATTTTCTCACCATCAGAATTAATTCCCACCAAGGAACACTTTGCTTTGTTAATCTTCAAACCTGAAACCTTGCCAAAAATTTGCAGCAAATGTAATAAATTGTTCCAAGCCTCCTCATGCCCTGCCAAGAAAAAGATGGTGTCATCCGCAAATTGAAGATGAGAAATCTCCACGTTATCTTGCCCAACACGCAGCCCTTGGATCAAATGATTCTCTTGAGCCTTCTCAATCAATCTGCTCAGCACGTCTACAACTAGGGTGAACAAGAACGGAGACAAAGGGTCACCTTGTCTCAGTCCTCTTGAAGCTTTGAATTTTCCCCTAGGTCTCCCATTAATCAAAACTGAGAAAATAGCCGTGCTTATGCAACCAAGCACCCATTTTCTCCATCTATACCCGAATCCCTTTCTCAGTAATACTTCTTCCAAGAATCTCCAATCGACGTGGTCATAAGCTTTTTCGAAATCGATCTTAAGAACCAAACCCTCCTCCTTCTTCTGCCTCACCTCTTCGACCACCTCGTTTGCTACGAGGACAGCGTCCAGAATTTGTCTGTCTTTAACAAAAGCTCCTTGAGATGGGGAAATTGTACTGCCCATGACATTCTTTAGTCTTGTAGCAAGGACTTTCGCCACTACCTTGTAAAGACTGGTAACTAAGCTTATAGGCCTATAGTCCCTCAAGTTCACAGAATCTGCCTTTTTCGGGATTAGGCAGATATAAGTTTCATTTGTTACTGCGTTTATAATCCCATTTTCGAAGAACTCTTCCAACACTTTCAAGATATCCGCCTTCAAAATATCCCAACAACTTTGGAACATTTGCAAAGAGAAGCCATCCGGGCCAGGGGACTTATCATTCCCGCAATCGAAAACGGCTTTTTTGACTTCGTCTTCCTCGAACGGCCGTTCAAGCCAAGCTGCCTCGGTGGCATTAATTGGACACCAATTAATACCAACCAGCCCCCAGCACTCCTCTTCATTGCTACTGAACAGAGACTTGAAAAAATGAATGATTTCGTTTTCAATCTCCTCTACCCCTTCTACCATTCTACCATCTTCCGCTTCCAATCTCTCTATAAAATTTCTCTTCCTTCTCTCACTTGCTACCTTATGGAAAAATCTAGTGTTGCCATCCCCATCTTTGGCCCACTCCACTTTGCTTCTCTGCCTCCACTTTACTTCTTCCTTCCAAACCAAATCTTCCACTAGGAAGCGGGTCTCTTCCCTCTTTCTTTTTGAGTCCGGGTCTAGACCTTCCCTTCCTTCTTTAAAGTCAATTTCCTCTAATTTGGCATGGGCTTCCTTAAGATTTCTCTCAGTGTCTCCGAAGACCTCATTGCTCCAAGATTGCAACTTCTTTTTAATAATTTTTAACTTACTGGAAAATTTGTACCCCTCCCAACCTTCGACTATCGCAGAAAGCCACCACTCTTTGAGATTGTTTCTAAAGTCTGGATGTTGTAGCCATGAATTCTCGAACCTGAAAGGGCCTGGCCCCCACGTCACCTTGTTGGTATCTAATTCGATTGGGCAATGATCAGAGGTTACCCTTGCCAGAGCCTTTTGCCTTGCATGTGGAAACGACTCCTCCCAACCACCAGAGAATAAGAATCTGTCTAATCTTCGGCAAACTGTTTCTTCTCGAAAATTAGACCAAGTGAACTGAGTGTTGAGCAGATCTGGGTCAATGAGTTCAGAGTCCTGGATAAACTGGTTAAAGATCCTCATACTTGCATTGGGCCTTCCCCCATTTGACTTCTCGTTTTCGAATCTCACCACATTAAAATCTCCCCCCACACACCATCTTGGACCGCAAAGACCATAAGGGCCAGCTAATTCTTCCCAGAAATCTTGTCTCTCCCTATATTTGCAAGGGCCATAGACCCTTGAGAGCCACCATTCCAAACCGTTCGACTCTCTAATTTTGATGGAAACTGAGAACACTCCTACTAGAGACTCGACTACTGAAATATGTTTAGTGTTCCACATTACAACTATGCCCCCAGAACTTCCTCGAGCAGGGGCGAAAACCCATTCTTTAAATCTGCTTCCCCACACACTTGCCACTAGCTTTCTATCAATTGTGACCGTTTTTGTTTCTTGTAAAATGATGATATCAGCCCGTGCTCGGCGGAAGTAGTCCTTCAAAAGAACCCTTTTCCTTCTGCTACCCAAACCTCTAATATTCCAGCTAATTATCTTCATTTAAATTTATCAAACCCCTTTTGCTCTTCCTTTTCTCTCCTCTTCCCACCTGCACCCCTGAGCTTTTACCGAGGATTAAGGATTTTTTTAGTGGCAGCAACGAAATCTTCATGTTTGACAAAAATTCGCTAGATCGTCCAGTAGGCTCCCATTTGTCAGAGACTCGGCCGGACCTTTTCCTCCTGCTATATTTAAGCACGTTGTTGTTGTCGTCATTTTCCTTGGTTTGATTTTGTTCGACTACCTCAAGATCTTGTCTGTAATCCCGTAGGGTACCCTCCTCTTCAGTTGCCGAAATCATTTCCTTGTCTCCATCGGAGAATAGATTCTGCAGTATACCTTCACCACTTTCAATTGGATCGTTGGGACGAATCCCCGAGCTCAACTTCAGATTCAGAAACCTGAGACCAATCATCTTCCTCAGCATGCGTGATTTGAGCAAGGTAATCGAAATCCACAGTTGGAAAAAAGTTTGTTGAGGAAATATTGCCGATGACCGATTCCATCCTCTCTGCGACTGACGTTACACAAAGAGGATTGAGACCCAATAACTCCTCCATCTCTTCGTCCTGATCCAAATCGTCATCTGGGGATAGAAGATTAGAAGCACCGATTTTCTTTGGCGTATCTTCCTCATTGAGGTTCAGCCGCGATCCGAACTCTTTTGGATAAACAAGTTTAAACCTTTTCGGTACATTGGCTAAGTCTCCGAATTTCGCAATAAATTTCAGATTACTGCAAATTATAGTGGCTTCAATTCCCTTCTCGTGGGCCCGGGAGGTGCTCCTTTCTGATGCCATCTGGACTGAGTGAAACAGATCCACAGACTGAAAATTTGGCATCACCATAACTTCGTTTCCGTGATGGGCCCGAGGATTTAGCCCAAAGAGTTCTAACGATATGGGTCTCTGGGGAGACCCAAGAAATGCCCCAATTTGGATATGTCCGTTACAGACTTTGTGTGGGCCGGACCCGTCCTTTCCCCCAACAAAAACATTGAAAATCTTCTGATCACTAGTAGACCCACAATCCACTTGGGACTGTCCGTCATAAGCTTTGATTGGGCCGCAACCCACTTTCCCCTCAAAATTAATATTAAAAACCCCCTGATGTGTGGAAAACCCACTTGCAACCTCTTCATGAATATAAAATTCCTTTTCCAGACAATTAGAAATCCCACCCACTGTTGAAGACAATCCTTTTGACAAATTAAAATAATCCCTACCGTTTGAAATCAATCCTTCTTCCACCCGGACAAACTTTCCGCTTGGGGAGCTGCTCCCTCCTTCTGACAACTTTTGTTCACCTGATAAGACACCTTGCTTTTCCCGGACGTAAACTTCCAATTCCTTACTCCGCCCACCGTCTGTCAGCTTTTCTCCCGACAACACACCTTGCTTTCTGCCAGAGCCCATGGTGATGGGACATTTAAACTCCCCAATCTGAAAGCACGCACGTGACTCGACTGAGGGACAGGATTGATTTCCTGGATTAGAAATCGCCATTGCCGGAGGCAGTATTCCGTTCACCTTCTGTGTCTTCAGTTCGGCCTTCAAAGGGCGACGTGACATCTTCAGATGACGAGATTCTCCGTACTCGGCTACCGAAGCCTTAGGTCTCCTTGCTGGCGTAATTTTTCTAATTTTTACCCTGACGACAAAATCTCCATCTGCCACTTCCACAAACTCTGGAATAAAGCCAGTATTGTTTTGTTTGATTCTTATCTTAGCTTCAAGCAAGAATTCAAAATCAGCTGTTTTCCGGTCAATTTCTACCAAACCACCGCAAGCGTCGCCGATCTCATGAAAGAAATCGCTTGTCCACAGATGCGGCGGTAATCCTTCCAGAGCAATCCATCCTCCATAACTGACCACCTTCCTCTCGCTTGGTTTGATGCTTTCCCACCATCCGGACAGCACCACTTTGGGGAATCCAATCATGGAAAGGACGCCAATTTGGGCAATCTGTGCTGCTTCCTCCTCATTCTTACAAACAAACAAAGCCTTATTGCATTGGAAGGGCACAAGGCTTGCTTTCCTTCCCATGATATTTAGAAGTGAGTCCTCCACCTCTCTCCAGGGCTGATGCACCACTTGTCTCTCACAGACAATTACACTTCCCCAGTTAAAGGCTTCCGGGGATTTGTCACTCTTGGTCCGACTCTTCTCAATCCAAATTTTCTCACCTGCGATTGCATTCGGTACCAGGTTTGTTGCCTTTATGTGCCTCCGAGAGCTGCATCTTTATATGACAACTGAGGAACCACACACGAATGGATCCACGGGGGCTCGGGTGCCTCCCTCCTCGCAAGCCTTTTTGACTGAAAAAGGGTACCAGAGGCAACCCCCCCTTTCTTTCCTCCTCGCAAGATTTCGGACAATAACTCCTCCATTTTCCTCCACCCGAAGAAATTGGCTCCTTTGGGGACGATAATCTTCCTTACAAGCCCCTGATTTTCTGATTTGGACAGAACAAGGAAGATCCCATTCTTGTTGTTGAAGCTTTCCACCCAAAACTGGTAGTTAAGACCCCTATACAGTCTGAAAAAGCTCCGAGCACTTGCTGTGATCGCCGTTTTAATCTGAAGACTGAGCCAAGAGGCACAGCCCAAGTCAAAAGAAATCTGAAACCCTCTGAATCTAGTCCTCTCAGTTAAACATATCCTTTCACCCAAGGACTTGTCTTCCACTTCTAGGATGAAAACCTTTTGCTCTACTTTGAAATCTCTGGCTAAATGCTTGTATCTCACATTCCTTCCTGACAACCGAGAGCTTGGAAGGACCCTTTCCCGTTTCTCCCAATCGCCCCTCTCCCATCCCTTGCGTTGCCCCTCTCCCAAATCCTTTCGATGCATCATGATGCTTAAACAAGACAAAGATTATGGTTTTTCCATCGAATGCTCTGATTTCGTATACATGTTCAACACTGCGTTTCTTTTGTTGTATGGTTGCCTTCCCATTGTTTAAGTTTCTGCTACATTGGAAATCAAGTTGTTTCCGATTTTCCCAGGAGTTGCTGGATATCAAATCCTTGCCGTCGATGAAGCTGCAAAGTTGGTGCAAGGCTCGGACAAAAAGAGGTCAATTTTTCAGGCAAATTCCGAGATCGCTATTCGATCTTGTGGACAAGTGCCTGACGGTAAACCCAAGGCAGAGGATCAGCGCAAAGGAAGCTCTGCAGCATGAGTTCTTTGCCCCGTGCCATGAGTATATGATGACATTGCTAAATGTATCGCATTCACATTCACCCATGCACCGACAGAAACTTTAATTGTTGCAGATAATATATTAATGTGGAACTTTGAATCTTTGCGGTTGTTTCAGTGGTTGTTCCTGGGTACCTTTGACATTTATCCATAAATAAGTTAATGACTTTGGTCATGAAACAATTTTTTGTTTAGTTTAGGAGAATGGGGTTGGTTCAATGAAATTTGTATTCATGAGCTATAGACCCAGATTTATGAATCGTATCTGTTGTCTTGATATGTATGGGTGTGTGATGGAGATGTAAACAGATAGAATGGATGAGAGGGTTGAAATGGAATCAACCCCATGGTTGGGGACTGAATGGAGGTAAAATGTTGGATCTGGTATAAATTGGATAGTTGCGCAGCCCAATGTGGTTCTCTCTTTGGTTTTTCTGAGAGAGCATATCTGTTGTGAGTGTGCTGTACTGACTGCTTTAATTTTTTATGACCCTTAACGATGGAGATTGAACTACATTGTTGTGGGGTGAAATGTTATCTGAAAGTAATGGAAAGAAAATTTTCTGCATCGTGATTCTTTTAATTGTATGATAATGTTTCTAGTGTTTTAGATTACATTGATCTGTATTATTTTAAAGTATATATAAAGATTAGTTTATAGGTGTATGCACTTAATATTGGATATATGGTATTTTTCAGGTTATTTGACATACAATTGCATATAATCTCAATTTTCTCATGCAATTTTTGTCTGAGCTTTGGAATCATTGAAAATTTTGCCTAAATAATTAATTGATTGAAATGGCTATTAGTAATGAATGGGGTGTTTACTGTGTTTTTTTGGTGTGTACAGAGCCAACGGTATGTTGTTAACGAAGGTAAAAACAAGATGCAGTTTGCTGCATATAGAAAACGGAGGTTAGTTTGATTCCAACTCCTTTTTTTAGTTTATTTGAATAAAAAATTGGTAAGTTCGAGTCCAGTTTGATTATTTTTTGCAGATTCTTTAATCAGTGATATTCTTTACCCTCATCACACGTATGGATCCTTTTTGATAATGAAATAACATAGTTATTTTAGTTATAGTAAGGATTAAAAACTCTATTTTATCTGTCCAATTTTTCCAAACTTAATAAATTAGGTTAGTTTTTAACACCTTTTTTATACTGATCAAAATAAAATTTGTTAATCATTTTAACACATAAAATAAAATTTGTTAATCATGTTAATCAGTAATTTGTTGTCAAAACTCTAAAATCACTAATTTTGGCAATCCTAATGACACAAATGAATCCCAGTAAACAAAGAAATCACATGGTTGTCATACTCATAGTAAAAACTAAGAATTCCTTTTTAATCTCTCCAGTTTTCCAAAGTTAACAAATTAAATTTGTTTTCTATACCTTTTTCATTCAAAAAAAAAAAAGTTTTTTGCTTTTTGCAATCCATTTCTAAACTTTATAAATTACTAGATTTAGTATTGTTATATAGTATATAAATTGGCATGTTAAGTGTATCACAGTATCAGTCTGTTGTTGACAGTTTGATTTTTGAATTACTCACTTTCCTTTATGTTATATCTTTGCATTTTAAATTGAAGTTGCTTACTAGAGTAATTATGTTTGTTTGCTGGTAGGGATCTTATTGAAAAGCAAGGAAGAAGAATTGAATTATTTTATTGCAGAGCTCAGGATAAACTATGCTTCGTTCAACAACAACAAAGCCTTTTCCCACTAAGTGGGGTTGGCTATATGAATCCTAGAACGTCATTGCGCTCGATTCTGTGTCATGTCCTCTTTTAGATCTAAGTACTCTAAGTCTTTTCTTAAGAGTCTCTTCCAAAGTTTTCCTAGGTCTTCCTCTACCCCTTCGGCCCTCGACCTCTGTTCCGTAGTCGCACCTTCTAACCAGAGCGTCAGTAGGCCTTCTTTGTACATGTCCAAACCACCGTAACCGATTTTCTCTCATCTTTCCTTCAATTTTGGCTACTCCTACTTTACCTCGGATATCCTCATTCATAATCTTATATTTTCTCGTGTGCCTACACATCCAACAAAGCATCCTCATCTCCGTTACACCCATTTTATGTACGTGTTGATGCTTCACCGTCCAACATTCCGTGCCATACAACATTGCCGGCCTTATTGCCGTCTTATAAAATTTTTCCTTGAGCTTCAATGGCATACAGCGGTCACACAACACGCCGGATGCACTTTTCCACTTCATCCATCCAGCTTGTATTCTATGATTGAGGTCTCCATCTAATTCTCCGTTCTTTTGCAAGATAGATTCTAGGTAGCGAAAGCGGTCGCTCTTTGGTACTTCCTAATCGGCTTAAGTGAAGATCTTTAGATTCCAACACTTCTCTCCAAATGTTAAGCTTCGCATTTACCCCTTCCTGAGTTTCATCTATCAACACTATATCTTTGCAAAAAGCATACACTAAGGAATATCATCTTGAATATGTCCCGTTAACTCATCCATTACCAATGCAAAAAGGTAAGGACTTAAGGATGAGTCTTAATTTAACCCTACAGTTATGGGGAAGCTTTCGGTTTGTCCTTCATGAGTTCTTACAGAAGTCTTTGCTCCATCATACATATCCTTTATAGCTTGGATATATGCTACTCGTATTCCTTTCTTCTTTAAAATCCTCCAGAGAATGTCTCTTGGGGGACCCTATCATATGCTTTTTCCAAATCTATAAAGACCATGTGTAAATGTTTTTTCTTATCTCTATATCTTTCCATCAATCTTCGTAAGAGATAGATTTCCTCCATGGTTGGGAGCCCTGACATGAACCCGAATTGGTTGTTCGAAACCCGTGTCTCTTACCTCAATCTATGCTCAATGACTTTCTCCCAGAGCTTCATTGTATGACTCATTAGCTTAATACCCTTATAGTTCATGCAATTTTGTACGTCGCCCTTATTCTTGTAGATAGGCACCAAAGTGCTCTTTCGCCACTCATTTGGCATCTTCTTCGTTTTCAAAATCCTATTGAAAAGGTCTCTGAGCCATGATATACCCGTCTCTCCCAAGACTTTCCACGCTTCGATCGGTATATCATCTGGGCCCACTACTTTTCTATGCTTCCATCTTTTTAAAAGCTACAACCACTTCTTTCTTCCTGATTCGACGGTAAAAGGAGTAGTTTCTACACTCTTCTGAGTTACTCAACTTCCCCCAAAGAAGTACTATTTTCATGTCCTTCATTGGAAAGATTATGAAAATAATCTTTTCATCTGTCTTTGACTGCGTTCTCTATTGCAAGAACATTTCCATCCTCATCCTTGATGCACCTCACTTGGTTTAGGTCCCTTGTCTTCTTTTCCCTTGCTCTAGCTAGTTTATAGATATCCAACTCTTCTTCTTTGGTATCTAGTCGGTTATACATATCGTCATAAGCCGCTAGCTTAGCTTCTCTCAAAGCTTTCTTCGCCTCTTGCTTCGCTATTCTATGCTTCTTTACCAAAAAAATTTACGAAATAAGAGTTGGATAAGATGGTAAGTAGGTGGGTTTGATATTCAATGTGGCTGAGTTTAGTTAATTTCTGTAGATTATTAAATGTTTGAATATGTCTATCAGGCTGCAGTAGAATCTCTCATTAGGAAAGAGAGGCTAGACTTGAAATTGAGCGATCACGAAATTCCCTCTCGGATGTGCACATGACGATACCCTGTGAGATGACTGATTCGAGAACCCATTTTAAATAAAACGTATCAAAAGTGTTGAACGGAGAGCGAAGAGATTATTTGCATGGAAAACAGATTTCACTTTGTTTTCTTTACTCAAAGTGCTCTTATTTAATCTGATTCTGTTTCGGTTGCATAGTCCGTGGTTTGCAGCGACTAAGAATCGTTTTCTAAGAAATCTATTGAGCTAAGTTCTTGTTGGTAGGAAATTAGGGGTGCTGATGTTAGCAATGGATTGAGTCTTTCTGTTTGGTATGATTATATCTCTGAACAAGCATTAATAAATAGAACGATTTCGATCAATAATTTTATTCAGTCAAGATTCAAACTCCCATTGTAGATCAAACTATAACTCAAATTCCCATTGCAAATCAAACTATAAGTCAAACTCCCATTGCAGAGCAAACTATGAGTCAAACCCTCATTCTAGAACAAACTGGGAACAAGGATGCGCAATAGGGAATGGCTATTTCCGGGGCATCGGTCGTTTTGAGATTCTGGTAACATCTATATAAGCTAGCTTATTTTTAGACCATTGTTTAGGTGTACATAATTGTTTAATGGCTTTGTACCTTTCCATTTTGTCAGCTATAGATGTTCTAAAAGATACACATACCCCTCCACGGAGAATCAAGTTCATTAGTTTACATTATATATCATTTTTGTGATGTAAGAAACCCACAACCATCTAAAAGTTTTAGTGAAGTTGTATTTTAAAGTCAGGTTGGTAGGATAAGTTGCTATATATATTTTTAAAAAGTTTTCAACTTCGAATTTTGTGATATGTGATTGTAGAGCAAGGAGAATGTGACCCCGATTAGCTCCAAGCTTGCGGTGATTTCTTGTTGTTCAGGGTTATGAGAATTCTTACAAAAAGAACTAGAACAACTCAGATTTTAATTTTCGGTTTAAAGCTGTTTTTAATTTGGTCCGCCCTGTTATGTTTGTTATAGGAACCGAGAAGAGTCTTCAATTCAGTTTCCAAACTCTGATTGAAAATGGAACTTGGTGCTATTAAGCTATCGTCCTCAGCCCTCAGAATTCAGGTAGCCCCATGACTTTTACATTGCTGCTTTCATTTTATGTACTAATTATTTTTCTATTAATTGTATTCTTCAGTTAAATAATGATTCATCCTCCTTTTCCCATCTCCTTGGTTTGTTCGTTTAGATTTTTCTGTTTGCGTATTATAATTTTTTAGGGTTTTGGTTACTGTGCACTTATCAGGTAAGTCAATTCTCATGTGATTTGTACATCCACATTCCTTACAATTTCCATCTCAGTATAGGCAATCTTTTGC